TATATATATATATATTTTTTTAGTCTTTATCGATTATGAATATCGAATAAAAAATTTGTTACCTTTTGAGGAGCTCAGCACGGCGATGGCTTCCTCATCCTCGAGAATGTCACCTTTGGACGAAGCCAACAGTGCCAATATTTTGTCCTCCGTTTCGTTGAGCATTCTATGGCACATAAATTAATATCGTATGAAAAAAAAAAAAAATAAACGCTATAATATACACAAAAGTAAATTCGACGTAGGTGTATAGGTATTACTTTTTGTTGGCAGCTCCCTGAATGATGAGCGAATTCTTTTCCGACTCCAAGTCGGGCCTCTCCTTCGCCACCGTGAGGCCCAAGAGCTGATCCTCGAGTCCGCTCGTGGTTATCATGAAGTTTATCAAAGTCACCTTGACCACGACTTCCGGCAGGTAATGCGGATTTCTGAGCTTCGTCGTTATGTACAACCTGCCAAATGTCACCGCTGCTGGATTATTCTCGCGCGAAAGCATTTCGAGGGAACCAAACGTATTATATACCGGAAATCAAAGTTGTACTCGATGATGGAATCGCCGAGCTTGATGCACAAGGCGCCCCCCTGCCTGAAGGTCTGTTTCAAGAGGACGGGCTCGAGCATCGCGTCGAGCTCTTCGCCGATGTTTTCGAGCAGAACCGGCTGACCGAACTGTATGGCGTTTTCCAATATCCTCGGGTAATCGTTCTGGCTCAGCTTTATTATGCTCAGGTTGTTTTCCTTCTCCATGTTTTTCACCCACTTGTTCGCCTGGCCCTGCGGATCGATCATCAGCGGCCAACGCCTCGCGTTCCTACGCTCATAATACATCGTAAAATTATTATACAACTGCCCATCGTAGATATTATTACATCCTTTCACACATTATCAAAAGCAATCAATATTGGAAATCGCTTACTTAGCTGCAATTTTACGATTTTTTTTTTTTTTTTTTCCCCACGAATCAATATACATTTTACGTGTGTACGTACTTGACAATGATGCCGTTGTCGGTTGAAAAGGCATCGGTGGGCAGGCCGTAGATGTTCCAGGACCGTATCAGAACCGGGTCGCCCAAAACCTCGCGTAACTGAAAGTCCTTGGTGCAAACGATACCGAGACTCGTGCAGAGCTCGACCCACTCGTTGGTCTGCTTGACCCGGTACGGGGTCGTGAAGGGGCCCAAGTACGCTATCACACCGGACGCGATCATAATGTCACCCGTCAGACGAAAGTATCTGGAAAAAAAAAACAAAAAAAAAACTAACTTTATAACAACAGCAACGAGGGAGAAGAAGCATATCATGTACCTGTTGGCCAGCTGGCTGGCGTTGTCGGACCAACGGGCGTACTCCCCGCCGAGGCCGCCGATCAGCTCCTCGGCGCGTTTGAGCTTCTGCTCGCACTCGGCGACCTTGTCGATCATCCCCTGGTAGTCAGCCTTTCTCTTGGCGAGCTCGGCCTCGAGGTCGGCCAGCCTCGCCTGGACCTCCCTGAGTTGCTCGCGCTTCACGCTCAGCTTGCCCATGGCGTCGTCGTACATGGCCTGCGCCTCGGCCAAGGCCTGCTGCTTCGGCGCCACCACCTTGGCCACCTTGTCGTACTCGGATATCGCGTAGACCCACTTGCAGAGGCCCTCGCACGCCGTCGAGACATTCTTTATCTTGTTCGGGTCGAAGCTCGCGTTGGTCAGGTACTCCCGGCGGATCTTCTCGATCGCCCGCTCCCCCACGTTGTCCTTGTCGAACTTTATTGACCAAAAGACCAACCGTCGTCATCATTTACCATTTTTGTCGATGACACATTGCACCCATATCATACCGTGATCAGAGAGTCGAGGAACTTGACGTCGCTGAGGACCTTTAGCGAGGACTTCCAGTAATCCTCGGCCATCCTCCCGTCCGGCTGTTGGATCCTTTCGGGCTTGACCCCCTTGAGGATGCAAATGCTCTCCATGACGAGTTTGACGCCCGCCGGGGGGTTCTTCATAGCCTTGACCACGGCTACGTCCGACATGGTGAGGGTGTTGAGGGCCGCCTCGGCTTCCCGGAGGATCGGCATGGCTTCCTCGAGATTCGCGTCGCACTCGGCCTTTATCTCCGCGGCTTTTCCCGCCACCTCCTACCGACGCAAACCCCAGATACACGTGACATATGACGTTGCGATCTACAGCTCCCTTATTGCCATACCAGGGCGGCTTCCTCGTCCAGCTTGATGACCGCCTCGACCTCGGCAACGTCCGCGCTCTCCTTTTCCACGCGGGTCAGGATCTTTTGCACGTCCTCCGTCGCCTCGAGCAGCATGGGCTGCAGGTTCCTCAGGGTGATCTGCATCTCCTCGACGTCCCGCTGCGTCTTGTCCAGCCGGCCCAGGCCACCCTCGTACCGGGCCTTGCTCTCCAATATTTCGCTTCGCGCAACGAGGAAAAAACGTCAATAATGGTTAAACCATTATATTGTATATATATACCCTTACTTTCTCTTGATGGCCAGTAGGCTCTTGAAGGTGGCGATGAGCTCGAGGTAGGAGGTCGGCGTCACGTAGTTGTGCCTGCCGAGGCGATCGAGAAACTCGGCGCTCAGAGTTTGCGTCGACACGTGGAACACTTGGCACATCTCGGTGGCAGCGCTACGCTCGGCGGTCGTAAGCTCGATTTCGCTCAGGAATTTCATCGCCACGGCAGACAGGGCATCCCCCGGCCACGGCTGGCCAAACCATTACAGCTCCGATCATTTGTTATTATCCGCGATTGGATCATAAAATAAGGTATAGGTTCATTGTACCTGCATCCAATCGATGGTACAGCAGTTGACGAGGGCGGGAAACTTGCGGATCCGAACGCGAAAGTTGTCCCCTACGGAGAATCAAGTATACCATTGAGTAACGATTTTTGCGTAGTAATATACGTGATGAAATCGATCATTGGGTATAACCCGTGGAGGACATGGCGACGACAATGTGCAGCTGATCCCGAGCTATCTGGATAAAGAGGTTGAAGAGGGCGACGAGGCTGCCGTCGGTCTGCATCGACTTGTCGCGTTGCCTGTCGACCTGGCGCATCTTCTCGCAAATCTCGGCCTTCTCCTCGTTGCTGAACAAGTTCGGCACCTGCGCTCAATTCTCCACGCTTCAGCCCCACCATCGCCAACAATGTGTTATCGTATACCCACCTCGCCAGTGTTGAGCATGTTGTTGATGTCCTCGAGGAAGCTTTCCTCCTTTATCTGGGTGTCGGTGAACAGGAAGGTCGAGTGTAGCTCGCTCGAGGTCGCCTTGAGCATGATCTTCTTGATGTCCTCGTGCCAGTCGGGGACCGAGTAGGTCTTGCTTATCTCGACCTGGTGGACCTCGTAGTCGCATATGTGCGAGGCGAGCCGGGTCAGGGACTGCCGGCCCGAGCCGCCTACGCCGACGAGGAGGGCGTGGCTCCGGGGCTGCTTTATGATGCGCGCGATCTTCGAGAGGTGCTCTATGGCGAAGCGGAACAACACCAGGTTCATCGGCTTCTTCGTCATCGAGTTATACTCGGACAGGTAATTCTCGACGATGCTGCGCAACAGCTCCAAGTCCGACACCTCCTGGTACAGCCGCTGATCGGCCTTCGGATCGGCAAAGTCGCAGTACACGAGCTTGCGCAGCTCGATCTCGCCGATCTGGTCGTTTATTGTATATTCGTTTATAGCGTCGATGTAAATTTTTTGTTTCGTTTTGTTTTTTTTGTTTCACACACGTACGGGCTTGGATTTGTCGCTCTTCAGCTTGGCGAACATCCCGTCGAGGTCGACGTCCATTTTCTCCTTGAGCGTGACGCGTAACTGCTGGATGAGCCAGTCGATGTCGTTGTCTACCAACCGATCGCCAAACACTCGCAATACTTCGTGGACCCACAGTTTCTTCATGTTCACCAGAGTCGGCATGGTCTCGGGCACCGACAGGAGGACGCCCTGAAATAAAAAGTGAGGCAACGTTGTTCTTTTCTGATCACATGGAAATTGTCGACTCCGAGTCCACCTGAATGACTCTAGAAAAGTCGCGGAGGTTGAACAAGTAGTGCGACTTGGCCGGGGTGGGCAGCAGGTATTCCAGACTCTTTTTGTACACGTCGAGAGTAGCCAGGACGATTTGATCGATGCAGGGGTCGAACTCTTTGCTGAAACCTCTGGAAAAATAATTTCACGAAACTTCATACATGTATACCGCTTGTACGATAAAAAAAAGAGTCTGTTGTGCGTATTGCCTGGTGTCGAGGTGCCAGAGAATGATTTTGCTGAATATGGCGATCATGACGTCGTCCCGGAACTCTGAGATCGCGGTGACGAAAAAGTGCCGCTTGAACCGAGGAGTCACGTCCTTGCCACCACCCACGGGTGGACTCATGGCGCACATCAACTGAAGATCTATCAGCTTGATCGTCGAACAGTCCTTTCTGTCGTACCTGTATAAAGTATAACATAACGTTGTATACACGTAAGAGCCACGGAAACAATAACGAGTGTACATTCGTACCATATAGCTTGATCGAGCAATTGCCTGAGGATTTCAATGGGGGGCTGAGCCCCGTACTCTTCCTTCATGGGCATGGAGACGTCGTCGATGAAGATGACGCACAGCTTTCCCAGGGGCGGGCCAAAGACGCCCTTCCTCCTCTTGTCGAGTTTGCTCATGATGATGTCCTGCGTCTGGTTGGCCGAGGTTTGCGCCGAGAAGTTGATGAACAGCGGCTTGTACACGGTCAAGTCGTTCTTCTTCAGGAGAAAGTCCGTCGCGTAGACCGACTTGCCGGTCCCCGTTGGCCCGACCACCAGGACCGGCTTCTGGTGCTGCACGAGCATCTGGAAGAGACTCATGTACCGTATGGTCTCGATCGTCGGCACTATTATCTGGTTGACCGGGACGTCGCGCGGGATCGCTGGCATGTTCACCAACTCGTCCGACCACAGCTTCCACTTGCCCTTGCCCTTATTTCGAATTCCGTGTTATCATGTGAGGATACATATACCAATGTCCCAATGAATGACGTTATTTAAGCGAACCTCCTTGATGAACCTGTAGTCGAAAACCGAGCCGTCTTTGGGCATGATGTAGATGTACGGCTTCCTCGGAGGCAGCACTGGCTCCGCGAGTCCAAGCTGGGACGCCAAATCCGCGGGAAACTCCTTCTCCAAAAGAGCGTGGAAGAGCGCGCTGAATATGTCCCTGTCCCTCTCGATGAGAGTGCCGCCCAGGGCCCAAATGCAGGAGAAGAAAAACGAGCCCTGCTTGGAAATGCCATGTGACATTCAAGGTTTCAACAGTAAATATACCCTGCAATAATAGTTAGTACTCGCTTCGATCTGGGCTCGTAGGTCCAAGTCGTTGGGGGCGCCGTCGGTGATTTCTCTGTAGTCGTCGAGGAAGCAGTCCATCAGGTAGGTGATGGACCGTACGAGGTTGGCATCGGGCATCGGGCACATTTCCTACGGGAAGTTTGTGTGAGTTTCAAGGTGTACGTCACAACGGGGGTTGCATACCGTGACGTTGCATCGCCTGAGAAGATACAAGATCGGCTTGCAGAATCTCATGAAGAGGGACTCGTACAGGAAGGTCCGCAGCCACTGGCTCAGGATCGAGGGGGTTGTCGCTATCCAGGACTGCAGCAGGGGCTCCCAGCCCAAACTCGACGGCTCCATGTAGATCATACCTGACGTCAAATGGCAGATATTTTTCTTTTCTTCTTCTCATCAAAAAAAAAAAAACAACGACCCACCACAGCGAGACACCGTCGCGGGAGAGGCCACTTCCAGGTCCATTGGCTCAAAGATCAGGTTGGTCGTCGGCGCCAACTGGATGATTTCCCCGCTCATGAGGCACAGTTTTTTGTTGTCGTCCAGAACCGTGTTCATGTTCTCTATCCACACGGCGTCTATCGGCCCGTCCTTTGTTGTGTTCATTCAAACGAAATTGTTAGCAAATATTTGTACTTGTCGGGAAAAGGTTTATACTTACGAATATCAGCCACTTTCTGTTGTTGTTGGTCGACGTCGCGAACGCGCGGTAGCTGATTGCCAGTATCCCGTCGGACCACTCGTGGGACGTTGGATCGAACTATTGCCCAACGACAATTTTATTATTATTATTATTTTTATTTTTTTTTTTTTGTATTTACAATGATCACTTGATTACCTGACCGTACAGCTGGCCGATCGTGATGGCTTTCGGGTTGATGACCGTTATCTCGACCCTCCGCTCGTTCATTAGATTCTACAACCAAACGAACGTTTTTTGGTACAAAAATAATCAGGCGGGTAAGCGGAACATTATTTTGTACTCACTCGTTCCTCGCAGAGCTCGAGAGCAGCGGCTAGCATCTTGTACGCGGTGCTCTTGCCGCCAAAGGGCAAGCCCACGACCATGAACCCGTGACGGACGATCATCATTTCGTAGATCTGCTGGACCTTCATCAAAAAGGCTGGTGTGCACTGAATGTTGGCCTGCGAGCACGCCTCCAGGGTACACGCGTTCAGGTCCGTGTAGTCCGGCTCAGGGAGCACGACGTTCGGGAACAGGTCCGACATTATACCCTGCCGACCGACCATTTAAACAAAACTAGGACAGGGTCGTGATGAAAAAAAAAAAAAAAAAAAAAAAAAGTATCCTCACGTTGAAGAGCGGGAGATCGGGGTTCAAGAATTTCGGGAGGTTGACGTCCCTGATGCTCCGCAGGACCAAAATGTCCTCGTTCTCGTCCGGGTACTTGAGCTTCAAGTTCCCGGTGGCCAGCAGCACCGACTTGACCGCCCTCATCCCGTAATCGTAGTGGCTCTGGGTCGACAGCTGCTCCGAGCACAGCCGATACGTAGTGACGATTTTCACCGACAGTGGACGCGCGTTCAGGAAGCCAAACGAGTACAGGGTGTTCTCGGATATGAGCGCGTAATCGGGCACCTGTCGGCATATTCCCCGTGTACCTGTTATTAATGTGACTATTGACGCCGAGTCGGCGCGCCTACCATCATGGCCACGGATCTGAACAGGGCCTTGAGGTTGTCGGGGAGCTCGGATCTCCCGGCGTACCCGGGATTCATGGTGATGAAGACGGCGCAAGTGGGGTCCAAACGTAGCTCGGTGCCTTCGAAGGTGAGGGTGGAGTGGCCGGAGTTGATGGCCCGTTGTATCGTGAGGATTTGCTGGGCCACGACCGACAGGACCTCCAAGTCGATGCGGTTGAACTCGTCGAAGCACGACCAGGCGCCCGAGGCGGCGATGCCCTTGAAGAACTTGCCCATGGCCGCGTAATCGAGGCCCTCCGAGCAATTGAACACGACGCACTGCTTGGCCACGGCTTTCGCCAGGTCCTTGGTGGTCTCGGTTTTCCCGGTCCCCGCCGGGCCCTCCGGTGCCCCACCCAGGTGCAAGCTCAGGGCCCCAAAGAGGGTCCTGTAGCACCTGTCCGTCAGCGGTGTGATCACAAGCCGCGAGCTGTTCCCCAGGTACTCGTAGCCGTAGGCCAACGAGGCGTTTATCATCATCGTCATCAGGTTTTCATCCTTAATACACGAAATTCCCCCCTCTTTTATTTCATATCCCTCTCGACGTGCTATCATGGTACATATGTATAGAACAAGTGTATGACGGAAACTCACCATCCAGTAGTATCTCAGTTGGCAAATCCATTTGAAGTCGGTGGCGTTGGACACGTTTTGCCGAGCAAGTCCGACCAGGACGTCCCGAGCGTGGACGTCCAGAGTCACCAGGGCCTCTTTGCAACGAATCACCAATTTTGAAAGTGCTTTGGTATACGATTAGCTGAGTATACATGTAATACCGAGGGTGGTGCGATTTTGCTCCGACAACTTTCCGCGGACGAGTTTGACGATTTCTCCCAGCTCGTGGATGCAAGCGTCGACGTAGTCGTGCAAACTTTGGGGCGCCGTCGGCATCGCGTTCGTTATGTCGTTCGTCCAGTACAGCTGGGACATGCACAGGATCGTTTGGCCCGGCCAGTCCAGGACCCACTCGCTCCTCGCTTTGGTTGGATACGCATCTTTGGCCCGTATCACCTACACCGAAAGCCATTGTTGTAATCATCTCCGTGGGATAGTCAAACGAATTTGCATTGTACCTGAGCTCGAATGCTCTTCTTCATGTCCATTTCCAGTTCCACGAGCCATTTTTCCACTTGACCCTTGGCGGCCGACGTGTCGATTACGTCTTCCAGCGTCACTTGTTCCCCTTCCGAGGATATCATCGCCGTCACCTCCATCTCTTCGGTAAAGTTCAACTTGGCTATACCTTCGAAGCACTTTTTCAGGTGCGGCTGAACACTGCATTTTTACAATTATTTCCACTGGTTTGTGTGATACGCAGGATCGGCTTGTTTTACCGTTTCGGGTCCTTGGTTTCCGAGAGAATTTCCAGGAGCTCGTCGTTCGACAGGAAGAAAAATCGGGGAAAGTAGAGCCGCTTCTTTTCCAAGTAGTCGTTCAGCCCCTTTTGGATCAGGTCCAACAGATTCGTCGACTTTTTCAAACGATCGAGCATCTTTTCGATCTCTATCACTGCCATGACTTTCGGCTCGAGGACCACGTTCGACATTATGTCCCTCCAAATCTGCGTGGACACACGAGATGTATTTACGATTTGAGAAATTGACATTCGCACAATGTTATGTTGCAAACTTTGTCGACGGCACTGAAGCGCCGGCCCTCTTCCGGCATCTGTTGCTGGATGTCGGGGGAAGAAAAAATCGGCTCGAGGTACATCCAGGTCGCCTGTACCTTCAGCCAGTAGTCTATAATGTCCTGAAGCGTGTACAACGTAGCTTCCCACTCCCTGAAAAACAAAAATGGTAAATTTTCCACAAGAGAGGGGATTTTCCGCGAGGCGTACAGAGTCTCTTTCTCGAAGGGCTTGATGTAGACCGAGTTCTTCATCGTCTGGGCTTTCGTGAGATGGTCGTCCAGGAGCACCTGGATCTCGTCGACGCTCGCTATCACGTGGGTCCCGGTGTCGCGGTACGGGTTTATCGTGAACTCCACGTCGGCCCACTCGGCGTGCATCTTCGACAGGGCCTTCTCCAAGTTGCTCTCCTTCGTCGCCGCCTCCGCTATGCCCTCGAACTTTGGCACGTAATCGTCCAGCCCGAAATCTATTACCTACACGGTATACAACGCGTGCGAGTGTTTAATTCACGATCACGGCTTTCATTGGAATAATCCAAGGATACGTGTGCCCACCTTGGCAAGGGTCATGCCAGAGTCCACCTTGATGGGGAAGCCGACGATCTCGGAGACCTGTTCCCAGTGCCGAGGCTTCATTCCCGGGTTGCCGAGGGTCATGATGAGGGGCATGTGCTCCTTGAACTCCTCGATCATTAATCTGACCGTCTCGGCGAGTCGGCGCACCAGCGGCACTTGGAACGTCTTCTCGAGCTTGAGTACCGTGCGGTAGGCCGTGCCCGTCTCCGTGTCTATGTCGTCGGGGTCGTAGCTGCCCACCACGGAGCTCATCCAGTTTTTGTTGCTCGACAGAAACTCGCACGCCGCGTCGTAGAACTTTTTGTACGGCACCAGCTTGTCCGCGATCTGCGACACGATCGAGGTGCTGAGCATCGAGAAAAAAGCCCATGGGCCGTGCCGATCTTTTTTTTTTTTTTTTTTTTTTACCTTTTTTCGGAGAGGGTACTGCGTCAATTCCCAGCCAAACATCTGCTCCTCGGCGTTGAAGGCGTCTATGGTCTCCACGGCGGCGACGAGCCGATTTTCCAAGCGATCGGCTTTCTTTTTGTACCGAAAGATTTCCTCGACGTTGCCCCAGTGCTGCATCTCCTCGCACTGCCTCTCGTACACCTGCAGGTCGTCCCGGAATTTTTCCACCCGCTCCTTCAGCGCCTGCTGGTACTCGCCGGTTTTACTCGCGACGATGCGCAGGTGCTCCTCGAAGATCGACGGCATGCGGTGGCACCTGCGCGTCGCGAATCATTAGGAATACACTTGGAAATTTGAGGCTCATCGGTGCAGCTAACCATTGAAAGGCCACGTTGTTGGTTTTCATCTCGATCGAGGTGAGCGGCGCGTAGTCAGACAGCAACAGGATGTACTTGATGATCTCCTGAAGCCTCTTCTCCAAGCCCCTGACCATCTCGGTCTGGGCCCTTTTCACAAAGTCGCTCAGCTCCACGAGCTCGAGGGTGTTGGGGGGGACGCTCAGCGCCCGGTCGGAGATGCCCTGGAACTCCTCGCCGATGCTGCAAAGTAACCATCGCTTTTCACTTGGACGAGCCGATGAGTCTCGCGTCGAAACTTACGCCTTTGACTCGAGCTGGTAGTCGCCGATGAGCTTGTTCAAGAGAACGTCCCTGCAGTGCAAGGCAGCCTCGACCAACTGGTTGATGAGCTCCCGCTTGTGGATCTCGAATATACCGATCGACACCGTCGCCTCGAACTCGAGTGGTATGCGCTTGGACAGCTGGTCGTACCGATCTATGAGCTCCCCGAACGCTTGGAAGGACGGTGGAGGGTCCGCCTCCAGGATCGACTCGATGTACTTTGCCTCTTCCCGATTGACCAAGCTCAAGTACTCGTCGAACTCTTGCAACAGAAACTCCGGGCCTATCCGCATCTGCTCGAGCAGATTGGTAATTCTCGCCACGTGCGATTCCACCTGGTCCTCGGAAATGTCCGGCTGGACATTTTTTGTTGTTGTTGTTAACCAACCAGAGCTTGTGGGGGAAAAAAGTTTCGCTCTATAAGAACCTGCAAGTTTTCGTCGTTGGAGAGGCCCGGCAGTAGTTTGGCATCGATCCTTTCGTGCTCGGCGACCGCGTCGACGAGCGAGCGCAGAAGGGAATTAAACCTGTTGGCGAACGCCTTGAAGGACGGTTCGAAAACCAGGACTTCGTTTTTCACCACGACGTTGACGACGAATCGACATCGGTTTGCCTGTGCACGAGGAAAAATGTTGATAAAAACGAGTCTTGGTTGGGCGATTGGTCCATTGGTTTACTTTTACCTCGGCGTTCATCAAAAAGTCCATGTAGTCGTCGACCGATTTCAGACAGAGGCACCTCAGTTGATCTTCCATGACGGTAGCGAGGCATTTGAACAGTTTCACGCTGACCTCGTGACTTTTGTCCAGAGTTAGGGTGCCTTTTTTCTGGGCCTTTGAAATACAATGCGTATGCTCGAGGACAATTTGGGACATTGCGCCATTCATGTACTTACGTTGCGGCAGATGTTTGCTATTCGCGCGATCCATCGCTCGTTGAGTTGCTTCTTCACATTGTTGACCATTTGAGAAAATTCAAAGTCAAACATCGACAAGTTGAAGGCACCATCGTGCGACAAAAAATGCTCTTTGTCCATCTGCTTTGCCGCGCTACGATCGGTATTCTCAATACACTGTGCTCAACGAGAGTTTCTCAATAAGTTCGCTAGGAAATGTACGTATTTTCATCCGTTACCTGAATTCGCGCGCCCAAAAGTCCAATGCTTTTTTCAGACACGGGTGGTACAGCACCAACGATTTCTCGATCTTCTTTCGCACCCTCCGAAACCTATCCTTGCTTTTTTGCAGGGACTCAATGCTAACGCTGATTTTCTGCTTGGATAAATAGATTTTTTTATTTTTATTTTCACCTCGTAAGCAAACGAGATTGGAATGAAATAAGGAAACCTGAGGGGAGTGACTTTCGCGGGTTGGGCCACAATGGAGGACGAAATCGACAACCGATCTCCTGACGCTGTGCGTGTATTCGTCGACCACCTCCTGGACGCACCTACGCAACACGTCGGGGAAACGCCGGCTCGACTTTTTCGGCACACTCGCCAAAATAGCGTCGAGCGCCTTGGGGTCCAGCGGGGGAATGTATTCGTTGCCGATCCCGTGCGCGACGTACTGCTGGTACTTTAACGATCGCGCGCGATCGCCGATCGCAAAGTACCCGAGCCCGTACTTTTGAACGTCTTCGTCCTGTTTCTTTGCTATCGCTTCGACCAAGGTGCGACGGAACTCTTCCCTTCGCCGCCTCAGCGCCGTGTAACTGTTTTTCGCGAACTTGGCTTCCTTCTCTTTCCTGTACACCGTGGTTTTGTCGACCCTGCGCGAGGAAGAAAATATTCAACAAGTACCTACCAACAACCAATTTTTTTTTTTTTACCGTAATTGTTTTTCCTTCGCTGGATCGAACACGAGCTGGGGTGCGTCGAATATGGAAAACTCGGTGAGGATGTTGTCCAACTGTTCGTTGTTTTTCCTCTTATTTCTCACGAATTTCTCCAACTTCTTGATGTCCATGCCGTGGCACTCGTGAAATCTTGCCATGTTGAGGTCCGTCATGGCTGTTTCGAGTTTTAAACATGTACCTGTTTCGAGAAACACTTTGTCCCGTTGCCTCAAGGTAGGTTACGTTATTTCGGGGCCGGTATTGCACGTAACCATAGTAATAAACGCCAATATATCGATTAGGGGTACTTTTTTGTACGAGGAAATTAAAAGAATCAACTTTTAGATATGATAGGTATTTTATTTTTAATAATATGTTGTTCTACACACGTAACGATATACAACTACAATATACGTTTCACACATCTTGTTTCGTACAATTAGAAAACAATTTTGAAAAATATTTATAGACTTTTGTTTTCTTCGATACACGTGGAGTAATAAAATATTCAATCGTGTTTTGTTACAATATATAGTATTGCATCAGTGATTGTCGCTCAAACTTATACTTTTTTTTTTTTTTTTTTTCTTTTTGATCACCTACCTCTTATTTTTCTCTCTTACTTACATTTAGGAGGATGGAATCAGATAATGGTTACATTGAACATTTAGAAATAAATATCAAATTAATTCAAAACTTGTAGCTCCGATGCACGATTCTTCATCAAGTTTTGTACAGTTTACTCAAGTAAATGAATTAAATCATTTTTTTTTTTCATCACGCTCGCACGCAAATTTTTTAATTTTCTTAGACACACTTAATGGTTTTTTGTTTTTTAATGTAAGTGTGTGTAGTAAAAACTAGGAACATACCACAAAGTTGACAACAAAAGTAGCTCAACAGTACACAGCTTACGAGGACTAATCAAACAAAATATTCACATCTTTGAGTTTTATTGTGCTTCGTGGACGTAATGAGTACGTGGTAGGTATATATATGTATATAATATATTTCTAATGTAAGCTGAGAACATTGGGACATATTTCGGGACCCTATTCTTTTAAGCGTATAACAGTCAATATAATGTATAAGGTTTGCCTTACATCCCTTAATACTTAGAGAATCTGTTTTTTGGGAATTTCGTCATTATTTTTGTGTGATGTTTCGGACAAAAATGTTCATCACGTTTATTCATTTGTTTTTATCGAGAGTAGTTAATTTGTGGGTTTTCCCTTTTACGGCTTATTTTGTGCCGCTGAAGAAAAAGTTATCACCAGATTATATCACATTCACAGGTTTATACGGTGTATATTTGCAACATACAATAAAATAGCTTACAGAATTTTTTTCACAACAAAACATAGCATTTATCCTCACTTGGATTCAAGAGTCAATCTTGTCGACACTAATATTAGTTACACTTGATACGTGCTCATAGCAACTCTCGCAGGTAGGTATTATCCGCTAATAATTGTTATTTTGTATACTTAGGTATTAACCTGTGAAAATATTTTTCCAAAAAAAAACCAACTTTCGTATTTTCTTCGACTGAGAGCAACAAGTTCCAAACAGTAAAAATAATTGTGCAAAATCAAAACTTTTTAAAGCAAAAGCTCTGCAGTGCTACGACAGTGATTTCAACACGTTTTTCATGTTTAGAATTTCATAAGAAAGTATTGTATATGGTGTTAGTTGGAAATATCTTCTTTTCAGTAGGAAAGAGCTATAAAAGTTTTCGTCCATTGAAGTTGCTGCATTTCAAAAAATCAAGTAACTTGTGATGCTCATAAAACATAAGATTAGTTTAAAACTACGTGGTGTCAGTCGTATTTTTTGTATTTATGGACAAAAAATTATTCAATTAAGTTTGTACTGGCTTGACAAGCGCAGAAGAGTTGAAATTTGTATAGAGTGTGCGCGTATAGATGAACATAAACTGTCGAATTACAAAATCAAGTAAGTTGATGAATCGACGAAGCGGTGGCTCCTATTAAGGTTTCGAAAAACGATATCGGAACGGTTGCGTCCAAACGAGTAATTCTAAAGAAAGAAACATTTTTTGTTGTTGGTAAGCTCATCAAGTTCTTAATTTAATACTGTGATACCTATACTTAATTAAAATTTAAACAGTTTTTAAAAAATTTAACGAATCATCATGGACAATACTACCGATAAATTAAAAACTGACATCAGTATAGTTCGACTATTTGGTATTAAGTATAGGAATCTTTCATCTTTACTTTTTTTAAAAGTGTCGTATCCATACAAACGCATAATTAGTTTAAGCCAATACAAAGTGCTACACCGATACGTGGAGTCCACATTGTCAATGCTAATTATGCGCTCAACATTTTTCTATGTACATAAAATTAGAATTCTAAGCATTCAACTACACAAAAAAAAAATAATTACCACAAACAAGTGGAAGTGGCAGTACAACTTCAACTATAACGTGGTTTGACGCATAAGAAAATTATAATCATGTGTGTAAGTGTGTGAAAATACTTTTACTGAGATTGTTAAAAATGAAATCATAAAAATGTGTATGAATTAAAACGATCTATGTGCATTTATGTGCTTTTAATCGTTTGTAAAGTAAAATATGCTTATTAATATTTTTTTACTCGAAATGAGATTCCGGCATTTCTACAAATCATACATGATTGATGTACTCAATTTTCAATTTTTTCGTAATGATTTTACAAAGATTCGAAACGATGCACAATACAATACGCTATGCCTAAACCACAACATCGACTAAGTAGTGCAGTATCTCTAATAAAGTTAAACCAAAAATGATTTCAAGTATGTATAAGGCATTCCAAAATTTATAAGCGTGTTTACTACATGTCATAAGGTTCGCATCCAACATGGCAATAATAAAAGTAAAAATGAAGTAATTATTGTGATTAATCGTGTACAACTAAACGATGCGCACAAATCTCTATCTACGATGTATTTCACAGAAATAAAACGTGTTCTCAATCCAAAGTGATGGAACTACGATGACGGTGATTGTATATATATAATATATTAGAGTGATTGCATACATCATAATAGTAATGATGATAATGACGATTGTGATGGTGATGGCGATGGTTTATTGTTCCCACTATGCGTGTAAGTGTGTGTGCGATCAAAACAATAATATATTGTTCTGTGTGTGGCATTCAATCTAGGATTTACCATTGTTATTGAAACACGGAAACACTGCGTTCCACACTCGGTTACAGAAGCCCCGCGCCCTGTTATTCCAGTCGGCTATCGTGTTATCGTTTTTTATTTTGTCGTTACCTGTTGCACAGTGAATCAAACATACGATTAATAAAGGTGTTATTTTTTTTTCGTTACAAAAAAAAAAAAAAAAAAAAAAAAGAAGAAAAAAAAGAAAAAGCGTGATCACGTATAAAAAGTGATAGTTCAAATGAGTTTCGTGTCTCACCTGTGCCGTTTGTTTCTCCGTTAGTTTTAGCGTTCTGAGGACAAAAAAAAAAAAAACCAAACGGAGGAAAAGTTGAAATGCCATTGAAAAAAAAGGGGGTAAATTGGGATCGACCCTCACCTGCTCTGCTCTCTTTGCAGCTTCGATTTTGGCTTTTTCCACGATTTCGGCGACAAACTTGTTGGCCTCGCGCATCAGCTCCTCGTCCCTCATGAAAGCGGCCTTGCGCTCCTCCAGACTCCCGCTTCCGCCCGGGACGAAAGTCTTGTCCGCTTCGTCCGCCGCCGGAGACGTGAACGTCAACTTCATCCGAGCCGTCTTTTTCGGGCCCTTGGTTTTCTTCGCTCCCTCGGTGCTCTGCATCGTCACCGTTTGCCGTTCAGCCGATTTCAAGGCGTTACAACCAACCGAAAACTGCAAATATAATTCAAACAGCGATTTTCAAATGTGCTCTGCCAATGCATTGTTCCTTTTTCCTCGGAATCCGTCCACTACTTAGGTATATGTGTAACATACACACAGTGCGCAAATATAGTGTTCCTCCCTCCCTCCTCCAGCGTATCCGAAGGTAGGTAAGGTAGATATCTGTTTTTCAATAAATTCACAAAAGATTTATACACAGAAAATTGTTTAAATAGGTACACGCGAGTCCGAGGTTACCTGGATGTAAATGTAATGAGCGCGTCAGACTACCATCACTTTTCAAATTGAATATTGTTACACTTGGTTGCAATATAACGACACTTTGGCCCAAGATGAAAATACAGAGGTTTAAAAACCGTCATAAAAAAGAAGAAGACGCGACAGTGATTGTTTTGCAAAAACCAAACGAGAAAGCACAGCGTCGAGCTTACCTGGGAAGTGGAGACAGATCGATTGTTGATAGGCGGGTACGAGTTGTCGGTGCAAGCTCCGTTGATCAGGTGCATCAGCAGTTACGCGACAGGAAAAAAAAAAAAAAAACGCTCGCAGGACAGCTGCACCAGAGCCGCGCCTGGTGGCTCGTTGTACAACAACAAAGAACGAAGAGGAGGAGGAGGAGATCGGAGCAGCAGCAGTTTGCGAGTATATGGCATATACGTGCGTGCACAACTTTTTTTTTTTTTTTTTTTTTTTAGTCAGCAGGAGCTCGGGGATCCCGGACAAAAACGAACAAGCGGTACGTACACGTATGACACGATACCTGCACGGAAGAGCCCGGACTGCAATGTAAATTTCCAGCAGTAGCAACAACAACAACAACAACAACAACAGACACTACACCCGCGAGCGCAAGCGCAGTCAAGGTAAAAAGCTCTCCAAGCGCGTCAAGCTCCTGTGCCTATGTCGTGTGTGTACACATATACATATAGGGTAGTGTAGGGGGATGATGCTCGATCGCGACCCCGATTGCGAGGGGGGCGAGAGTGACAGCTGATGGGCTATCCCTGCATTACTCCGATATTAAATACTTGACTCTGAATGTATAAACACAATAGTGTGCTTACTTTGAGGGAGTTTTATTCGAGGGGGTGCTTGAAATTTTTCAAACCCTCGGTTAATACAACCCGAGTTTGACGATCTTTGCTTGATGGAAGTAGTACAATTTTACGGCTATTTTTATTTGGGGGGGTCTTTAAAATGATTGGATGGAAAGATATATATATTCCTTATCGTACGATGTTTATTTAAATGTATTATAACGTATTACAAAGCTATTTGGAAAAAAAAAACAAACAAAAAATTGTGTATGATTAACAAAAGGGTACTAACTGACAATTTCGTAGTAACGAGGTCGACCGATACTTGCTTGCTTAAAAAAGGTTTTTGACCCACAGACCTACAACAGTTTGTACATCGTATATATACGTAAGTATGATGATCGATCCAGAGGGGGTGTGGGCGTTATCGCAGTCAACCACTTGGCAAATCGACCTTATTTTTTTTTAAACTAAAATTTCTGCAAGCGCTTATAAAGAGCATCGGTGCGGTCACGCTCGTATATTCAACGCAAGCGGACGGTAAGATCGTTCGTATGTTAATTTTATTGCGTTCCAAATACCACTGGCTGCAAGTATCAGAGGAGTACCATGAAATATACTATACGTTTATGTATGTATAGGCGAGCTCATACCTCGAAGCGAGTTTGAAATGGAAGAGTAGAAGGAGTGTAGGTGGCGAGAGAGTGGTATCGTCGCGTGGAAGCGTCGTGCCTTGCTTACTCCGCCCACAATCGATATTTCGAGCGAATTAACGAGGTGATTGCGCCTCGTGGATAAATTATCGCTCCGATTCTCCTTCTTCTTCGCTCGTAATAAAAAAATTTTTTTTTTTTCACGCCTCACTCTGCCTCTACATGTATATACGTCATAGTGTGTTTGCTCAGCTCCTTTTTTTCTCCTTCCCTTTCTTCAACTCTCAGTCCTCAAACATATCCATACTGTTGCTTCCTATGCTAGTTTGGCGCACAATTTGTACGCCCCACAAAAAGGCAATGGATACAGATATGGCCAAACGTACAGGAGAACTTATCATCATTCGAGCCGATCATCGAACATCAGCGAAACGTCGAGCAACGATTACTATTCCACTGTCATCGCCGTTCTCGACGACACCGAAGAAATGTATGATGCGTGAAGCGACTCTCGCGATGACAATGTCCGATCGATCGGTACACGAGGCGCGTGACCCGAGTGGAAACTCGATGAATTACTCGAGGGGCTCCGATCACGATTTGGCTCTACGCGTCTTCTTTTTCTTCCTGGCCGCCTGTGCGCGCTGACGATACGCCCTCCAAGTGCGCTGGATCAGGCGAGCCGCCCGGCTCTTCTCAAAGTGCTCCAACTGCTCGGCGAACACTCGCATGATCGCGAGCTCTCGTTCGCTCTTGAGCCTCGCGTGGAGATCGGCCAGCGCGTCGTGCTCGTTCTGAGACGTAACAACTGATGTTATTCTTATTCACGTGACATGGTACGTCGTACAGCTTACACATACCTTTAGAGTTTCGTAACTCGCGGCAACCGATCGCAACTGCTCCGCCAGTTTGTCCCTCAGCTCGTTCAACGCGGTCAGGTCCTCGTCGTAAGCTTTTCGAGCTGCCTGGCGTTTATTCTCCGTCACTTTACTGAGCAAACAACAACAAACCGTACATACGATTTACATACTTATGAGGGTACAAATGATTAACTCCCACCGACCATTGCTCCCTCAGCAACTTCTCCTGCTCCAGGTGGACCCTCGTCAACTCATCCAGCATCCTCTCGTGAGCTCTCAGCTGGTTCTCGGCGTTGCTCGCGTCTTCTCTGGCATCGCTCACCAATACCAGCAGCCTTGCCTCGCAGTTTTTTCTTTATTCCAATCAACGGTTATTTTCAATACTCAACGACCATCGAATATCACCTTACATTTTCCGCTCGAACTCCTTGCCGCGCCTCTCCTCCGTTTCACTGATCGTGACGCTCAGATCGGCAATTTCCCCTCGAGATTTTTCCATGGCGCTCTCGTACCTCAATGTTTCCTCGGCGTAACTGGTCTCGAGACCTGCAGGTACAACATAGTGAACCATCGCAATTGCGAGAGTGCAAATAATAATATTTTCTGTTGTTTCGCTTATACTTTCAATCCTCTCCGACAGTTCGATTATGGTGGCTTCGGCGTTGCGCAGCTCGACTTTTCGCGCGCGCAGTTGGTCCGGTGTCAATTTCATCCGATGCTCCGCGATCCCTCTCAGTAGGCCCACGCGATCGACGATGAGCTCGTAGTTACGGCGAAAGTCCTCGTTGTCCCTCGTCATCGACAAAACGTCGTCTTCGTGTTTGCTCAGGGCGTCCAAAATCCCCGTCCACCGGAGTTTGCGTCTCGGGTGATCCTCGTACACGGCAACTTGGAGAGGCTCGTCTTGAACATTCGAAACAGCTCATTATGTGATATACCCACGTACTCGAAGGCTTTCGTTTGAATTTACCGTTTTTTCCAGCACACGCATCCTCGTGAGCGGCGTTGCATAATTTGCACAGCTCCTCGTATTCCTTGGCGTGTTGCTGCTCGAAATGATTTTTAAACTTGGGATCCTCCAACAGCAGGGGCAAGCAGATCTGGAACGAAAATGTACGGTTTTACTTTCAATCGATGCATGGTATTCGCAGAAATAATAATAAATCCAACTTTTTCTTTTTTCAATTTACCGCAACATTAAATTTTCTCGAGAACTCGTCGACCAGTCGGAGGATTTGATCAACGGCTTCCTCGCGAATTTCCATACTTTACGGGCCCAAGTAATATGAGAATGCGATATGTTTCTTGTTATTTGGCCTTACTTCGACATATATACTTACCTGTTCGCGCTTGGTTACGTAAAACACTATTTGTTGTCGTCTGTTGACGCGCGTGGGTGGATCTCCCGACGCACGACGAAACTATCAAGGTCGCGGCATTAATTTTTCTCCCATTGATGACCACCTCGTGCGGCATCAGAAATATTATTATTGAACCGGAATCATTGAATGAAAAACAAAAGGATTTAACGAAAGTCTCGTTCAAATTTTGCGCAAAAAAAGTTGACTTAGTCACGTGGTGCTGTGTACGCGCGTTTTTCAAAGATCGAGAAACAGAAAAAAAATATGAATTGTCCATGTACTAATATATGGTTCACGAGTATGGTTGTGCAAGTAGGTGGTTAAAACTACTAATGAGCGAGCGTACCTATTTTGATTGTTCGATAAGCGACCTGAACCTCCTGAAGCGACTCGTTGTTGTCATGGAGAGGAGTTTTCGCGCCTGTGTCATCTGTATATCTGTACATCTGTAATTTGTAGTTGTCATAACACGGCTGGAAAACATCACAACACACATGGCGGTGTGCGATGTTGTTTGGTAGTTTGGTACTTTCTAACCTACAACGAAAGTGGGAAAAAGAATACAATTGTTTCAAATCTTCAAGAATATGGATAGTTCTTCGGAATCGCAGGCTCAGGACGTAGATAACGTTGAACAGGACGAGGACGACTCTGCGGAAAACGCAGAGTCGGTCGACGACGATGTAATCGAAAACTACGGTATACGACCTACGCTTGAAGAAAAGTGAGTTGTCCTTGTGTGTCCCTTGTCCCAGTGCACATTGCAATCTTATTGTGGTTTAATTCGGCACAATTTACAGATTCAAGCCCTTGACTGCTAAAGAAATTATTCATAACGTCCTCTTTGATCAGTTGTCCACGAAAAAATATGACAGAATAGAAGGGCAAAAGTGGTCCAAAGACATTGCCAACATCATCCGCAACAAGATTAAAGGTATGAACTCGATAGATTTTTGGTATACGTGACAAATGAGTTGTTCTCATGTTAATTCCTGTTATTTTAGAGCTTGACGTTAAAAAGTACAAGTTTGTTGTTAATGTCGTTATTGGAGAAAGGGTTGGAGCTGGAGTGAAAATGGGCACCAGGTGTATATGGGATGCAGAAGCAGACAGCTATGCCCATGACAGTTTTACAAATGTAAGATTGACTTTTTCATGACCTTACTTGCTATTATTTAATGTTCAAGTTAAGATTCAATGTCTCTTGTATTCTTGTAGGACACGTTATTTTGCGTGGCAGCAGTTTATGCTGTCTATCATTACTGAACTCATCTCTCAACAAGAACGTTTCTAATACTTTGTTGTAAGAAAATGTTATGTAAAGTAAGTGGTACCGTTAATACGTTAATTATAACTTTAGACTAAGCGAATTTTCAATCCTTTTGATCTCGCAAGGACTTTATTGACTATTATAATAAATAACTTATTAAAAGCATCCATTTTTAAATGGCAATGAGCATGTTGTAAATATCGCAAAAGCAATGCTGGCAAGAAGTGTGACAAGTATAAATAAAAACAAAGGGATCAAAAGTATCAATGAAAATAATTATTTTTATAGTTGTTTTATTTTGCATTTATTATCATAATAATTTTAGATTGTCAATACAGCTCATCAAATTAAATTCTTTTGTTTATTAATAATTTATAACTGATTATTCTTACATATTAAAAAGTACAAGCTACAAGTACGGGTTAAAAATATTTAAATATGAAATTTAAAATAATCTATCTTATAAAAGTACAGTTACACGTTGAAAAGCTGGTATTAAAAATTAAGACGTTGGAAACTGACAACAACAACAAAAATAGAAATGGGAGTAAATCTTCAACATCTATATAAATTAATGTAATCTATGAGATGGACGGTCGTCGCGGATAGATACTGAGAATATAAAAAGCATTTAATGGCGCTTCGTGTAGAACCAATTTTTTTGTTCCTTTGTTTACGGGCAACAGTAAATTTACATGATAACACATGGTAAGGCACAACATAGTGGCAAACAGACTGGCACAACAGCTTTTTTCGTTTTGGTTTTCTCTTCGCTCTTCGAGGACGATCCATACTCCCAGGCACCCCTCTCCTTCGACCAGCCACCCTGCACAAATAAAAACACCATTATCAACACTTTCTAACTATTCTAGGGTTTAAATTCAAAGAGGTCCAGCAAAAATGCTTACGCTGCTCTTTGACATCGCAGCCATGGACTCCTCCTTCCTGGAGTACTCGCCGCCACCCGTTGCGGCCATGGCCTCTCCTTTCCGAGCAAACTCCCCAGCACCAGGTGGGTAGTAAACCGGCGGTCCAGCCACGTTCTTGCTTCTGACGATTGGAGGCGTGTGCGGCACAAAGTCCACCTCCTTCTTTGTCGTGCTCCCCTTGGTCATGGTCTTTCTCACCTCCATCACCTCCTGCAACATGTACTCATTCGTAAAACAATGTTCACAACAAGGAATGACAACCACAACGGACCTCAGAGTCGGAGAAGGAGGCCATGAGATCCTCGATCCTCTTGGGCGGCTGCTGGCAGGGACTGGCTGGCCGCTCGCTCGTAGGAAACGGCCTAGTTGGCAGGACCGACTGTTGCTCGTCATACTTGTACACGGTGGTGCTCGCGTGGTGGGACGACGTGGTCTCGGGGTAGTAGGGCCTCGGCTGGGGCGGCCGACTCCCCGAGTAGTGTTCCTCGTACTGCTTGACGGTGGTGCGCTGGTGGGACTCGGGCGCCGGGGCTGGCTGCTGGTGCTCGTACATGAGGCGCTGCTCGCTGCGGCTCATCGAGGAAGTGGAGGTGGCCGGGTAGTCGGGGACGCTCTGCTGCAAGTTGTACCTCTCGCTCCGACTGACGGTGCTCGTGGTCTGCAGCGGTGGCGGTGGCGAGGCGGCCCGGTAAATCCGCCGGTCCACGTAGACCTTCTCCTCTCGGTGGACCCGGTTCGTGCTTGGCGACGGCGGCACGTAGGCAGCCCTCTGCTCCTCGACCTGTCGACGAACCCGCGTTAAAAATCGCGTCCCCTCCACGCTTGGCCATTACACAACGCGACTCACATGGTACGAGATGGACTTCTCGGCCGTGTCCCTGGGCAGGGAGACGTAGCTCGAGGACTTGTCGAGGTTGATGTTCCTGGTGAGGCTGCTGCTCGAGGTCGTGGTGTAGTTCTCGGGGGCGCCGGGCAGCTCGTACGTGTAAGTTTTGACGGTCTTGGTGACTTTGGTGTTGGGGCCCGGGGCGAGGCTCGCCGGGATGGGACTCGACGAGCTGGGAATGTACTCGACGTTCGTCAGCTCCTCGGTCTCGTCGCTGCGCACCGTCTTGATGTTCTTCCGCGACGATATCGGGCTCGGCTCTGTGTAGGAACCTACAAGCGTTTCGCACACGATTACGCGTGAACAACCACAAAGCGAAATATACATATACGTATACGATTCCCTCACTCGTTTCCTTTAGGTACTTGAAATCCCTCTCCTTGGACGTCGATGTGGTCGTCGTCGTAGGTGCCACGATATTTTTTGTCGATACATCTGCCTTGTAGATCTAAATAAAAAAAAAAAAAAAAAAAAGAAGAAGCAATGAGTCACGCCGAGCGAAATTGGCACGGGCTCCGGAGAGACGAATAAAAACTCACGATTTCTTTGTCGTTCCGCGCAAAGTCCGGACTGTCGCGGGTCGCCCTTGCGGACGACGAACTCGACTTTTCGAACGTCCTTTCGCAAAAGTCGTCGCTGATGTGAGAAAAAAACAAGTGTTAAAATAGCTACTACAGCCATAACGAATAAAAATACCATCGTTATAGCAATACTCACACGATGGATGCGTCGTTTTTGGTGATTTTGCTGGTCTTGACCCAGGGCTCTGCGAGAAAATAAAACGTAAGGCAAAAAAGAGCGAATAAAACGTATGGACGTAATAAGTACGCGAAGGAATAACAGAGAGAGAGAGAGGGACGAACGGATGCTGGGCCGCGTATAAGCTGACGGCAAGGTCGCGAGAGAGCGAGGCTATAAAAGGAGCGCTCGCGTACACGTATAGAAATATATGGAGGGCGCACGCGATGAATAAGCTTACGTACCGAGGTTCTGTCCTTCCTGCTGCCTGTCGTAGTGGTAGGATACCTGCTTGTAGGCGACGGTCTTGCTCTGGCCGGGTTGCACCTGGAACGATTGAATACAGCGGGTTTGAAAAAACGGGCGCCCTTTATTTTTCGATTCCTATCGAGTATGGACTAAAGGTTTTTTTCTTTCTTTTTTTTTTTCCCCCATCGCCAACGACGCCGACTCGTTTGCCTTGTGGCCGCGACCTACAATTATCAACCTTTTTTTCATACAAAAGCGCCATCGTTTGAGCGCAATGAGTGTTCAACTATACCGGAATCAAACGATGAAACAACGTTCATTTTTATTTGCCGATTTGAAAATACGAGTGCTGAGGGTTTAGCGTGTGGGCACGCGGCTCTCTCCTCGAAGAGCGTCAATTGAGCTCGACCCTCGTTTTCCCTCACGTGTTCACTCGAGTGCACTTTTCGCAATTTCATTCAAGACCCTCGTGTGTAAATCTTCACTTTCGCGCGGTTCTCGTGTTGATTGTCCATTGTGTACGGGGGGGGGGAGGGCACCACTCGGGCTTGACTTTCTAGTACAGCCGATGCTGGTGATAAAAGACAAAAGGGAGACTCAACTTTTTCCTTGTTCCGAGCCATGCTGGCGGCGCTGGAGTTTCGCGATCGAAGGAAAAAAAGTTGCGCGCAACAAGTAGTTTCGGAACCGAGCGGAGATACCGGACTGCCTCTGGGAAATCGAGATTGTCGCCGCGAGTCGGCTGATGCAGCTGCGTAGGTGTAGCGAGCGATCGGTTGGAGATCGTGGGAGACGCTCTCCTCCTGCCTTTTCCTGCGCTACCATATTTGGGAGATCGAGACATTCAACACCTACCTCGTACACCCATACGTTACAGCTTGTGTGTTTTTTTTTGTTCCGACTCGTAAGAAGTGACCTTTCCGAAAATCGCCACTCGTATTTTAATTAGCTGGTCTATTTCCGGGGGCATAAATTTCCTTTTCGCCGGCCCAGTTGAACCAAACGAAACCGCGTGGACACGTGCCAGAAAAAAAAANTTTTTTTTCAAAACGAAATCTTTTTTTTTGTTTCTATTCTTTAAACATAGGTAATATAAATATATACGTATATAAACACATGGTACATATAATATGTATAACATGTAACGAAAACATAAATGAGCACGGGTTCTATAATTGGTCATTCGAATCACCGCAGACTCGGCAAGGGTAATGCGCTGTTTTCGCTCAAGCTCGCTTTATTTTTAAGCGTGAAATCAGATCGGTACGTCGAATCGACGCCTACTGCTCTTTATTTACCCGCAAGCGCGCGGTGACATATTACAACGTGCAAACATAACTTATTCAACAATGTTATGTAACGGCTGTCGCAATTAAATTTAAAAAAAAAAAAACAGCATTACCCCTCCCTCGATCGCTGGAGATCGTCCGTTGCATATCATTTTATAAAATCGCGAGTCATTTGGATATCTAGTAATACTGGCATTAGAGGTTTACAGGAAAAAAAAAAAAAAAAAAAAAAAAAAAAAAAAAAAAAAAAAAGAAGAAGCAATGAGTCACGCCGAGCGAAATTGGCACGGGCTCCGGAGAGACGAATAAAAACTCACGATTTCTTTGTCGTTCCGCGCAAAGTCCGGACTGTCGCGGGTCGCCCTTGCGGACGACGAACTCGACTTTTCGAACGTCCTTTCGCAAAAGTCGTCGCTGATGTGAGAAAAAAACAAGTGTTAAAATAGCTACTACAGCCATAACGAATAAAAATACCATCGTTATAGCAATACTCACACGATGGATGCGTCGTTTTTGGTGATTTTGCTGGTCTTGACCCAGGGCTCTGCGAGAAAATAAAACGTAAGGCAAAAAAGAGCGAATAAAACGTATGGACGTAATAAGTACGCGAAGGAATAACAGAGAGAGAGAGAGGGACGAACGGATGCTGGGCCGCGTATAAGCTGACGGCAAGGTCGCGAGAGAGCGAGGCTATAAAAGGAGCGCTCGCGTACACGTATAGAAATATATGGAGGGCGCACGCGATGAATAAGCTTACGTACCGAGGTTCTGTCCTTCCTGCTGCCTGTCGTAGTGGTAGGATACCTGCTTGTAGGCGACGGTCTTGCTCTGGCCGGGTTGCACCTGGAACGATTGAATACAGCGGGTTTGAAAAAACGGGCGCCCTTTATTTTTCGATTCCTATCGAGTATGGACTAAAGGTTTTTTTCTTTCTTTTTTTTTTTCCCCCATCGCCAACGACGCCGACTCGTTTGCCTTGTGGCCGCGACCTACAATTATCAACCTTTTTTTCATACAAAAGCGCCATCGTTTGAGCGCAATGAGTGTTCAACTATACCGGAATCAAACGATGAAACAACGTTCATTTTTATTTGCCGATTTGAAAATACGAGTGCTGAGGGTTTAGCGTGTGGGCACGCGGCTCTCTCCTCGAAGAGCGTCAATTGAGCTCGACCCTCGTTTTCCCTCACGTGTTCACTCGAGTGCACTTTTCGCAATTTCATTCAAGACCCTCGTGTGTAAATCTTCACTTTCGCGCGGTTCTCGTGTTGATTGTCCATTGTGTACGGGGGGGGGGAGGGCACCACTCGGGCTTGACTTTCTAGTACAGCCGATGCTGGTGATAAAAGACAAAAGGGAGACTCAACTTTTTCCTTGTTCCGAGCCATGCTGGCGGCGCTGGAGTTTCGCGATCGAAGGAAAAAAAGTTGCGCGCAACAAGTAGTTTCGGAACCGAGCGGAGATACCGGACTGCCTCTGGGAAATCGAGATTGTCGCCGCGAGTCGGCTGATGCAGCTGCGTAGGTGTAGCGAGCGATCGGTTGGAGATCGTGGGAGACGCTCTCCTCCTGCCTTTTCCTGCGCTACCATATTTGGGAGATCGAGACATTCAACACCTACCTCGTACACCCATACGTTACAGCTTGTGTGTTTTTTTTTGTTCCGACTCGTAAGAAGTGACCTTTCCGAAAATCGCCACTCGTATTTTAATTAGCTGGTCTATTTCCGGGGGCATAAATTTCCTTTTCGCCGGCCCAGTTGAACCAAACGAAACCGCGTGGACACGTGCCAGAAAAAAAAAAAAAAAAAAAGTATTTCATACATGTACTTACGTCTTGGAGTTCTTTGTCGAGCATCTCGAGCCCAGGGATCCCGGAAGCCGAGCCGGCCGGTCCCGTGCTCACAAACTTCTCGATCGTCGTCGTCCGGCCCGAGGGCGACACCGACCTCAGCGGAGAATGCCTCCTGAAAACAAAAATGGTCCAATCGGCCACTGGGGGGTGTGGTTTACGCGCCCAACCCTTCGCAAAACCCGTTCAAGTTATTGTACTCAATTCTTATGAAAAGTCAGGGTCTTACGTGGTTTTGGTTTCGATGATCCTCTCCTGCCTGGCGCCGTGATGCGCCGTGCCCCCGTTGGCATTTTTGGGCGTTTTGACGCTGGTCTGCAGGTCGTCCAAAAGCGCGTCTGCGAACAACCAGTGCGATTCAGATGCGAAACGAAGGAGGAGGAGGAGGAGGGGAAAAAAACAGAGTCGCAATGCAGCAGCACCGGCGAAACTAAAGTGGTATTACCTAAATTGTTATCGAGGTTGCCGGCCGAGGTTGACGAGTACGAGTGGCTGCTCGTGGTTTTTCGACCTACAGCTCCGCTCGCCATGCTGGTGGCTGGTACGGCTGACCCTGCAACGAGGAGAGGAGGAAAAAAAACATAAACAACACGAGCGCGACCGTGTGTGGGACCATCGTCTTGGGAAGCGGGGGAGGACATGCAAACAATATACACATTTGCCGGAACCTCTGACGCAAACGACTGAGTTTGGTTTTCTCTCGAGGAAAATAAAAGCTCTGGTTGTACCCTGAAAGTCGGGCTTTTCTTCTTTCGTGCAATAGTCTTTGATCTCGCGAATCATCGACTCTATTTCGAGGTACCGTTTGGGAAAATAAAAGCTCCGATGGAATTTCGCACATCGGTGGTACTACTCATAAATGCGTACTTATATAGCGATGCGTCATCTTTCTCTCTCCCAGCGGCTACATGTATACCATAATATATTATACTCTGTCGGGGAGAAAATAGAATAAGTATACGTTTCGCGGAGCAAAAAACGATGATAACAATAATTTAAAAATTTCCAACTCCTACCTGTTTCCTTTCGTAACCCGGCCACTTGCACGTATACATAAATTGTGCTCTGTCATATTTATTATTCTATAATAACGGCCTGCGAAATTTATTACATTATTTAAGAGTTTTCAGTAAGTGCGTAGGTACTCTATAGTCTGTTAAATTCATCTAATTGGCCGTAGCTGCGAGTTGCACTTCATTAGAATATTTCTCGAGAAGCGCATACGTAAGAAAATTTCGAGCCGCGGATTTTAAGTAAACTAAAAAAAAAAAAAAAAAAAAAGCAGCTCAAAAGACACTAAGAAGAAGAGAGTGGTATAATATAGATATTTGGTTTGTATATAGACGAGCGTGGACATCGTACAGTGAATGAGTTGCAATAATAAATGATGAAAGATGAAAAAAATTATGCAAGGCTACGCTATAAGCTAGTCAAGTTCAATAGTAGATATAATTATGTAGAGTGTGGGTGCAATCGAATGGGTGATACATGTATACTTCTTCATGAATAAAATATGACACGAGAGTAACATCGTAAGAGATGTGTCTTTGTCTCGTATCCGTCAAGGGGGGCCCCCCTGAAACGAGAGTTCCCGCACATATATATACGTATATACGTGACGAGACGAGCAGGAGAGAGGACGGAGGCTGCTCCGCGTGCTATGGTTATAATACATACCATATGAAAATATGATATGCTCGTGAGACACACAGTGCGGACAGTGTCGCGAATCAAGAGAGGCTGCGTAGCTTGTAAGTAGGTACTGAAAAGAGAAGAAAGAGCCGCCCCGTGTATATATTTATACACATGTGAGTACATTAGTCGCACGAAATGTTACAAGGTCGATCCTAAGGTGGCGGCCGACAGCAGGTATATATATGTGACGCGGCCGCGCCTCTTGTGTTGTTGCACTTGCATCAATCATCGGATGAGCCGATGAGGTTCCTATACCAAAGGTCATCCCATATCGGCTCCGCAAAAGCCTCAATATGCGTACACACGTAGGACATAATTGTATTTTGGACGGCCGGGGCGGACAAACACACGCGCACACATGGTTTCCCGATGAAAACCGAGCCTACGCTATTTTCGGCCTTTACCGCCGCGCTCGAGCCAAGTCCGCGCATTGGGTGTTGAGGTATATGTATATATAAGCGCGTACCATATCTTGTACGAGACGACGAGCGGCTTAATTTCCCGCCTCCTCGCGAACTCGACCAAAACTGCCAACTCTCGGGGGCTTGTGCACTCTTGTACACCATTGGCCTGTTTTCACTCTACTTATGCTCGAATGCGTTTGCAAACGTGTCGAGTTGAACAGTATCGACTAAATTTCTATAGGTGGACAAAAAGAAAAAAGGAAAAAAAAAAATTTATACCGAAATTATCTCATTGTTTGCAATCTAGAAATTGAGTCGAAGAAAAATAAAAGATAGACCACACGTGCAAATTTATCCTCATTTAAAAAGAAAAGGAAGCAGATTATTTCAAGAAAGTAGCTCGCGCGACGTTTATTCACTACACCAATATTGCGTATACGCCTAATAATTATTTTGCAACGGAGACAAACGAATAACCCAATATACCCCGTCTCTATGCAACAATTATATTTAACACTAAAAGCATCATACGGGCTCACGAGTGTTTTTGTCACCTCGTTTCATCCGTATACATCAAAATATTGTACGATGTGTGTATAGATCGCCGCGATCAATCAACTAATAAACGTAGAGATCCGATATTCCGAAATCGGCAAGTATAGGTAATACGTATAATATATTATGAGTGACAGTGCCCCAATACCATTGTACATAAAATATACGCGCACTCTTGAGCCACTCACAACAAGAGTCACTCGTGCACGCTTCTTCTTCTCCTGCTGTAAATACCTAATAGAGACGCTTGGACTGTTAATTAATCATTGCGATCCGCCACTTGCTTGGATTCGAATATGGGTGGTAGAAACAAAAGGCCAACGGAGCAGTGAAATCGTTGGATCGATTTACCGGGCGTTCACTCTTCAGTATTGGTGTAAAAAGGAAACTCGGCGAAAATATGCGAGAGAGCCGATTAACGCGCAAAGTGGGCAGGTATATGAGATATTATGCGTCGAGAGCGCGTGGGCGCCCCGCGACATGTTATACACGCACCCGAGTGGGATGATGGGAAATTCCTCCTTGACTCGCTCGCTCACTTTTTTGCCTACCGATGCCTACCGATTTTTCCGCGATGCTCCAACAGTCGGACCGGCTGTAAGCACAACGAGGCACTCGCGCGACCGGAAGGCCCAAAGGCTCGAGCACAGGTATAAAGATCACAAACGAGCCGGAGCGCGTGCGGCCGCGACAGCTCGCGGGACGAACTAAAAAGCCGCGCGTACGTCCCCTCGGCCCTATGGCTCTCTCTCTCTGCTCCGCTTATGCAGCGCCGCGTTCTCTCTTTTTCTTTCTCTTTTTACCCTGTGCTCTACAGATGGTCGCCGCCGGCTCTCTCTCTCTCTCTCTCCCACATGCCATATGTACACTTTCGCTCCGCGGCACCCACGCTCACTCTCTCTCTCTCTCTCTACGTACTATATGATACGTTCGCCCACCGATTTTTCGGCGCTCGGTGTTCCCTTTTCGCCCGCCGCCCCCGCCTTGCTTCGTTTGTTTTGCTTCCATTCTTATTTCGAAACGATGATGCCAGCGCTCCGCCAAGGCGACCTGCTCCTATAATGGACACGCGAGCCGCGGTCCCCCGGCGAATCGGCCGAGAAAATCGGCTTCTCGAAACCGATCGATCCATCTTGTGCTCCACCTCCTCCGCGTTATACTCGGAAAATCCCGCTTTTCCGCGGCTCGCGAGCTTTCCTGTACAACAATATACACGCGCGTGACGTTTTCTTCTTCTTCTCCTTTGATGCCTCTCCAAAAAACGTATCTCTCTCCAGCCAATGACGAGATGAGAGAGTTATAATTGATGACTTCCCATTTGGTACACACATAAGATGTTCCACTGACGCGTCTCGCGTCGGGATCAATTTATTTTTTCCTCTTCCTCCCCCATCCATCCGCGGTTAATTGCCGAGAGAGAGAGAGCAAGGAACATCTATATAACATATACGCGCGCGTGGTGTATTTTATTACGAGCAATCGACGGAGGGAGGGAGGGAGGAAAAAAAAAGCCCGAGTTTTGAAATTGAAATGAGTTTTTTTTTTTTTTTTTTTTTTTTTTTTTTTTTTTTTTTTTTTTTTTTTT